TAATACCCCATGTCGAGGGAGTTACGAAGTATTATTTATGTTGCATGGGGTGATCCTTTAGTCTAAAAAACTTAGGACCCCTCCCCCCCTCACACACACACACACACAATCCCATTTAAAATGAATCGTTTATCTCATTGGTCATAATTGCTTCCTTTCCCTTAGACTAATTCATGTAATTGAGTTCGGCTGGGACCCATAATTGTGGACCTCGAAGAGTGCCTAACACCTTCTATTCGAGGTAATTTCGAGCCCTTACCCGATCTTTGGTGACATAAATTGGTTAGACAGAGTTATTTGCAAATAGGTTCCCTAACGCACCTTAAAAATCGTTAGGTGGCGACTCTCTCTTTTAAACCCTTCCTTAAAAGAGTTGTCACATGTCGAAACCCGATTTCGTGAGAAAATGGGCGTGACAACATGCTTGAGCCTATTTATTAGTACTAACCAAAGCCATAAGTGTTATGCATAATTGGAAAATGTGATTTGGAAATGATAGTGATGCTAATTGTGCGTTAACTATTAGTGCCTCATTGAGTATATGGTTTTGATTTGCTTGAGGATAAGTAAAAGCTTTAAGTTGGGGGTGTTGATGAGTGGTGATTTTACCATTTATTCTGGTCTCTTTTCATTAGTTTTTGTGCCCTTTAATTATAAATAAGGTGATTTATAGTGTGCATTGCTAGATTTTCAGGTACAATGAGTCTTAAAGAGAGGTAAGACCAAATGGAGTGGAATTGAGCAAACATGGTTGAACAATTGCAAAACTGCTCCCAGTGATCTCGCACCTGCATGAGAATTTCCGCTTCAGCGGACTCGCATCAGCGAGTAGAACACCTCATCTGTGGAATAGCCAAGCTTCACTGGGACCGCATCTGTGCTGGGCCATCCGCATCTGTGGAGGCGCTTCTGCGGCATAAGTCCGCTCCTGCATATACGCTTCTGCATTTCATGGACCGCTTCTGCGGCGATTCGAACAGCTACTCAATTTCACATCTGCATGCATAATTCTGCATCTGCGTTGATTCTTCCGCAGGTGCGGCCAACGGCCTCCAGCTTTGGACGAACTTGGCATTTCATATTTTCACTATCCCAAACCCTTTCATACACAACCTAGCTTCTTGGAAACAAATCTTTGGTAGACCTATGAAGTATTTTGGAGTCTCTTGACTAGAGAAGACAAGTTTTGGAGCTAGGGTTCTTCTACACATAGTTGGGTCTTGAAGATTTGAAGCTTTTGGTTGAGAATTTCTTACCCATTTATGTTCATTTCTTCATTTTCTTGCTTTGTATTGTATATCTAAGTGTGTAGTATTTTTTCCAACACTTGAATCTTGTTTATGAAAATATTCATATTTAAAAGGTGGATTAAATATCTTGTTGTGCTTATGCATTGAATGATTTTTAGTTATATTGAGGTGAGTTATTATTTCTTTAATGTTTCCAAAGAGATTAGCTAACCCTAGGACTCGCCCATTTACTTTGAATTAATTTTGGGAAAGATAATTTGGGGTTGGGAAAAATTAATTTACAAGAACTTGAGACTTTAACCCTTATTTTATAGATTCAACCTAGGGATAGGATTGAACTACTTGTAGCCATATTCGGGTGTGCTTAATCTCTTAATTGTTTTAGGGATAATTCAATTAGGAAGTCTTGTTAGTATTCAGAAGAAGCTAATATTGAATTATTACCCGGGGCTAATTAACATAAACTCGCTCATATTTGTAAAATCGTGAAATACATTGGATTGTTACTTGAGTGTGATTCCCCGTGCATCCATACTTGTAGCCATTGATCATTTTACTTGCTTTTTCTAAGTTAGTTTATATTTTCGCACTTAGACCTAAATATTTTCTCAAAACTTTTCTAAGTGTTTGGCTTAGCATAATAAGTGATAATTCTCTTACACGCCTAATTACCTACATATTGTTCTCTATGGGATTCGACCTCAACTCATAGTTGGGTAAATTATATTGCATGCGACCGCGTCTATTTACTTTGTAGTAGTGGATTTGGACGTCATCAGCACACAAGGTTGGATAAATTTAGGAATCAAGTTATTCGGGAGAAGGGGGAGTGGCCCCTATGGAGGAAAAGATGTGAGAGGCGAGGCTGAGATGGTTAGGGCATATTAAGAGGAGAAGCACAGATGCACAGGTCAGGAGGTGTGAGAGGTTGGCCTTAGGGGGTAAGAGGAAGGGTAGAGGTAGGCTAAAAAAGTCTTGGAGAGAGGTGCTCAGGCGAGATATGGCACAACTTGAGCTGATCGAGGACATGACCCTTGATAGGAGGGTGTGGAGATTGAAAATTAGGGTAGAATATTAGTAAGTAGTTGAGCATTTCCCTTTGTCTTCCTTAGCTCAATAGCATTAGTGTTAGTATGGTATCCTTTTTACCCTTAGTTTGCTATTTTCATAAATCTTATAATGTTACTACTTGCCATCAGTATTCCCTTAGTTTGCTATCACTATATATCTTGTACTGTAATTAGTTGTTATAAGTACTTCTTTCATCTTCTCTGTTGCTATCTTGGACTTAATTTTCTAAGTATCATGTATTATTATTACTTGCTACAAGTGCTTTTTCTATTTTTTCTTTAGCTGAGGGTATATCGGAAATAGTCTCTCTGCCCTTCCAAGGTAAGGGAAAGGTTGCGTACATCCTACCCCCCTAGAACCCACTTGTGGCACTGGTTGTTATTATTGTTGTACTTCATCCAATCTTAGTGTTACCATTTCTTGGTTTTATTTCTTCTTTTTTACTTGAATAAATTCATAACATTTATTTTTTGTTTATTTTTTTAAAGATAAATATAATATTATTATTTGCTAAATTCAAGGAGTTGAAAATTACTTCTCGCTATTGGTTATTATTCGAATATTGGTTGACGATTTTATTGTTTCAATAATCTCTTATAATTTTTTATATGATAATTATTTATTTTTACACAAAATTAATTAACAAAATATCACATCAAAGAGTGCAAAATATTATTTAAGGATATTTATACCAACTGTTGAATCATGGTATACCAAAAGTGGAATCATGTTATACTTTTATGTATGTTAAAATATTTATATCAACAGCTGAATCATGATACACTTTGTTTATGTTAAATGATATTCTCAATATTCTTGGTATACTTATATAGTATACCATGTACTTTATTTGAGTATGTTAAATGATATACTAAATCTTTTTGGTATACCATGATTAGTTTTAAATTCTGATATTATCAATATTCTTTGGTATAGTATGCATTCGTATACCATGATTAGTATTCAGTCATGTTATAATTTGTTAGAGTACGTTAAATGGTATACCTAATATTCTTGGTATACAACATATTAGTATACTATAATTACTGTTGAATCATGGTACTCTAATATTCCTAGCATACTACATATTGATGTATCATAATTAGCAGTGAAAATAACACGGGCTAGCCAGTTTTCGGATTGGTAATTGAAAAATAGCCAACATTTACAAAGTCATTGAAAAATAACCAGTATTTTGTTACAAAACGGAAAGTTCCAACATAATATAATAAAGATTGGTGCATCATATTATGTTGGAACTCCAACACACAAAAAGTTTCAGCATAATATACTGGAGATTGAAGCACCTGTGTATGAACTTCCAGCATATTATGCTGGACCAGTATATTATGCTGGAACTCCGGTATATTATGCTGGAACTCCGGTATATTTTGTTGGAATATTTCTAAATTTTGAACAGTGTTTTCGTTCAGATTTATCTTTACATAAAAAGTGGCTAAATTTTAATTACTTTTGAAATTGTAGCTATTTGTCAATTACCATTTGTAAATTTGGCTATTTTTGAATTTCACCCTAATTAGCATAGTATAACAAATTTTAAGATTCACCGATTTAACTAGAAAGAACAAAAAAAAAAAAAAAAAAAGGGAAAAAAATT